CCCCCCCAACTGATTGCTGAGCGGGGGGGGGCAGTATTCTGGGTTCACCACCAAGCACATGGGGAGGGGGGGCATGGCGCGGCGCGCTCCTGTGGGATGCTCCATCTGCCCCAGCATTGCAGTATTCACAAGCTGTGCCTGGTACCTTGAGGTACATAGAAAAAACATTTAAAGCTGTGTCTGTGGCCTAATCTCTGATTTTTCCGAATCAGCATCGAATCTTCGGATTAGGATTCGGCCGTATTGAATCGGGGACAGTGATGTTAATTAACAAATCGAATCCCCGATTTGGGCCAAATCTGGATCGAATATGGCCCATTTCGCACACCCCTACTATGCATGTGGCACACAGGGCACTGTTAGCTAGTCAAGTTATCCCGGTTGAGAACCACTGAGTTATCTTCATGTGCTGCAAATCCTTCACTGTATGTACATTTTTTTGCTATTTATTTGGATAAGCTGTACATTTTTATAGCATTAATTTGTATTAGATAACTTGTTTTAAATAGCATCTCTGTCGGCACGCTTTTTTCAGGTGCAAAAATTTATTTTATAAACATAAGCCACCTATAAACTTTTTCTTGCTAATCTACTTTACTACTTAATTAGTCTACTTAAACTATTTTCTGTGCACTATAACCTGGTGAATAATTAACTGTACCTTTGCTCCCACATCAGCAGTATCTGTTCAGTCATTTTAATATTAAATATCCAGCAAGCTTAAATGAGATTACTTGTTGGTAGTACTTTGGCTGCACAATATTTATGCAGTCATATCAGTTTACTTTATTTTTAGAAGTGGGATTGCTCTACTGTAGTTGGTTTATAAGGAGTGTCAATTTGACTTAAAATCTTGAGTGTTATGCTGAGTATAAAGAAATACTGCTTTTAATAACAACTTTCATTTTTTGCATTCATCTCAAAGCTATTTCTAATTTTTAATTGAAGAAATCACAAGCAGTAGTAGTTGCACTGGATGGTGCTGTGGTGGTCTCTCAGAGAGGCTATTGTATAGGACACTCGACAGAAGTAGAATAAAGACAAAGAGCATACAACAAATTACAACATTTGTGCAAATACAACAAGTATAATTGATAATCCTTTGAAATAACCCTCTAAAATTACTTCACCTATGCTAAACTAAATATTACAGTTCTTTATTTTAAGTCAAGTTTATGGTGTGGATTTGTTGCTATAAGTATCTTATTTCAAGATTTTGGGGGATCGTAATACAGTAACTTAAGATCATTATTGTATTGAATACCTGCAGTCTGCCATCATTTTATATGGGGGCGAGTATTAGAATGTAATAAAAGCTAGAATTCACATGGGGATTTCTTGCTAGAAATATATTTGTTACACCATGATGAAGTGTATTCAGAAGAGGGCAAGAGGTGGAGCATTTATAATCTTTATATTACTATTTTCATCCTCTCTTAGAATTAGAAATAAGAAGACGGGAGGATGAGTACAGATTTACAAGTAAGTGAACTCTCCTCATGTCCTCCTCTGCAATATTTACCCTTTGAAATTAACATTAAAACATGGTTTTTGTGATGATTTGATTGAAATTACTGGCCAGATTCTGCTCGATTTACTCCCAAAAGCAGTTCATTGACTGCTTTAACAATGTTTGTGACTGAGGTAACCACGGTTTCTAATCCTAGGTGGACGGCAGGTAAAGTTTACCCACCGCTTGCTAAAGATACCTTACATAAGCATTTATGTTTTGGTTTTTTTTAATGATAAAACAAGTGAAAGATGAGAGTTATTTACTCAAAAGTGAGGTATTTGAACTCTATGAATTTCTGATACCATCTATGTGAGGCTAAGGGAAATGTAAATCATTACCTTGTAGATAATGCCTCGTGTCAACTTTTGTCAACATTAACCAGGCAAGGTTTAATATGTAGGTTTGCTGTGTTGTATTTGTACTCTGACAGTCAGAACAGCTTTGTCCGTCTTACTGACACTTGTACACGTTTGCATAGTTCTCAAGAGGCTTTTCCCCCTAACCTGCAGTGCGCTGTAAAGCTGGCTTCTTTAGTTTCATATGCTACCCGTGACTAGTAGTGCTTCTGCAGACCAGTTCATTAAATTCATTCACACCTGTTCAATTCCATCATCTTAAATTTCAAAATTCTGCACTGCAATTAGAGTTAATTTAAAATTATGTTGATGGGTGAGTGTGAATAAAATCCAGCCCTACATTACTAAGGAATAAAGAAATGTGTTAAAAAACATTAAAACAAACAAATAAACAAAACCCCCCTTAGTTTACCATTAAATGTACCTAGGTTTCAGAACTGTTGTTATGGGATAGTTTTGTATAGTCACTTTTCACAGCATAACTGGATTTTGGACATATTGGTGGTTGGCCAATTTACATTTGCCTTTATACCTTACTTATTGTCCTACCTATGTGCTTTTATTTTCCTTTTTTCATACAAAGCAGGGTACTTTATGTATATGCGAGAACTGGACGTTTCTAATGAGCTTTCTTTAAATTTAGAATGTTTTAGATGTTTTAGTTTTAGTCCCTACAGCGTTGCTGTTTGTGTTTGGAAATCTCTTCAAACTTTTAAAAATGTGTGCACGGATACATAAGTAAATGCAAATCCTCTTTTGCAATGTGTATACCAGCTACATTTGTTTGAATCCGTATGTATTTTCTTAGATAGAATTACAGGTTTGAAGAACAAAACTATAAAACTGGGTGGGCAAAATACAGCCCACTGGCGGGATCCAGCCCGCCAATTGACTGTATCCAGCCCACGGCTGCCTCCGCAGCACTCCCCACAGGCCTGAGTCCTCTCTGGGGCAGCCTGCACCACATTCTGGCCTGTACCCACCAAAGACACTGCCCTGGCCAGTGTGCACAGCTTTCTGGTGGGGATGCTCCTGCTGCTGCTGCTACAGCCACCCAGGTACTGCTCGGCTCCCACCACCTCCAGTGGCTCCTTCTCCTTCTGCCCCTGCTGTGCCACGCCTGCCAGGCAAGGGGGAAGCTGCAGCTGGGCAGGTCTTGGGCAGTCAAGGGGGTGGAAGGCAGTTGGAGTGGCACAGCAGGGGCAGGGGGAGGACAAGTCTCTAGAGGTGGAGGGAAACTGAGCAGCACCCAGACAGCAGTGGAAGCAGCCCCATCAGGAAGCTGTGCATGCTGGCCGGGCCAGGGCAGTTTGTTGGTCAGTATGGACAGGAGTGTGGCGTGGATTCCTCAGCGGGGAGCAGGCATGGCTTGGCTCCATGCAGAGCACCATGGGCCGGATGGGAGCAGAAGTGGGGGTGGACTGCACCTCCTTGCCCTGCCTCACTCTGCTGCATGTGTGCCTCCCTCCCCCTACCCTGGTTGGCTCCCTGGACCTAATGCATGGGCAGCCCCCTACACACACACACCCATCCTCCCACAACACCCGCATCCACACACCCACCTGCACGTGCACACCCTCCCCCCACAAAATATGTAAGAATAAAACTTTATTTTGAACTATTATGCAATTGCATCTATATACACTATTCAAAAAAACATAAATCAGGACCACAATTATTATTTTAAATAAAAATAGTGCAGGGGTTGGCAAAATATGGCCCGTGGGCCAGATCTGACTCACGGAGGGACTTGGCAGTCCGCAGCGAGCCCTTGGTCTCGTTTGGCCCCTGGTGCATCCTGCCACCCCCAGATGCACAGTGGGGCTGGGGTGGCTGTGTCCAGACTTCATTTCTCAGCAGTTCTAGCAGTGGTGTCTCTATCTAGCTGCTGCTGCCACTGGTCCTAACTCCATGGAGACCAGCCAGGATCTGTGTGCCAGGCTGAGTACACAGCCCAGGCCCCGGCCTGTCCCACGCAGGTGGTTGGGTTCCCTGCAGTGGCCTCCCTGCCCATGATGAGCGACGGTGGCGGCTGGGCAGAAGCTGCTGCTCCGTGCGAGAAAGAAGTGGGGCCTGGTGGCAGGTGCAGCCACCTTCCCCTCACTGCTGCTGGGCCCTTGCTGCTGCCACTGCCTAGAGACCACACTGGGCCTCTCTTCCCTGCTGCCACCTCCAGGCTGCCCCAGGCCCTCGCACCCAGCAGGGCAGTGGCAGTGGGAAGGAGAGCCTCAGCGCAACTCCCAGGTGGCAGCAGTGAGAAGGGCCTGGCAGTGGCAAAGGGGGAGGTGGGTGCACCTGCCCCTGGGGCCCGTTTTTTTTTCCCACTCAGAGCAGAAGCTTCTGCCTGGCTGTTACCACTCACTGTGGCTGCGGTGGGTGGGTCTGGAGCGGGCGCTGCAGGGACCCTGACCCCCTAAGTTGGGTGGTCCGAGGCCAGGACTGTGCGCTGGTGGCAGCAGGGAGGGGGAGCCCTGGTGCAGGCTCTGGGTGGCCACAGCAAGAAGGCCCCCGCAGCAGGAAGGGGGAGGCAGCTGTGCTCACTGCTGGGCCCTGCTTTTTTCCCTGCACCAAGCAGTAACTTCTGCCCAGCCGCCCAAATAATTGCCCACCCCTAGTATAGTAGATGTTTGATTTTTAATATGACTTGTTTTATCTGTGACTGGTTAAAATGATATCTTCTGAAAGATTTTGTGTGTGACCCTCAACAGCTCACCAAAACTCGTTAAGTGGCTTGCCCGCCAAAAAGGTTGCCCACCCCTGCTCTAAAAGATTACAAGAAACCTCAGTTCAGCCAAAATAGTTGCCCACCTCTGCTCTAAAAGATTACAAGAAACCTCAGTTAAAAAACTTAATTACATGTGCAACAGCTGTGCCAGATACCCTGTCAGTTCACATTAAACCTGGTTCCCCAACAACACTCCTGTTCATTTCAGAACTGCTGCAGATTGCTGGGATCAGTCCACATGGTAATGCTTTAGGAGCATCAATGCAACAGCAAGTGAATCAGCAGATGCCTCAGGAGAAACGTGGAGGCGAAGTACTAGATTCACCCCATGATGACATAAAGCTTGAAAAAAGTAATATTTTGCTGCTTGGACCAACTGGGTCAGGTGTGTAATGGAACGCTTGTATAGATTTCAAGTCCTCTATGGTACATGTTGATATTTGCTGATGTATAGGATTGACGTAGATAATATATTTGAGGATATTTTTGTTACCACTTGTAAATAAAAGCATGGCATGTGACTAAAAGGAGAGAAATGCAAGTAATTTATTTAAACTGAGAAAGTTGAAGGGAAGAACTGTTCCAAAAGAAATCTTGCCAATCCTGCCATTTGACCAGCAGGTCTCAACCACAGTTTTCAGTTACATGCACCTCCTTTCTCCAAAGCATGAGATTTCCTAAGAAATTGAGAGGCCTAAGGTGTGTAGAACAAGTATGAGTAAGAAGCATCCCATTTGATCATTCCTAAAGACAAAAATCATGAAGCATTTTAGCCTCTAGTCGCCCAATTGTGTGTGTGTGTGTTTGTGTGTGAGGGGGTGCCTTAGCTAATTTTGTTGCTTTGGCATCTTGATTGCTCTATGATAGCCAATGCAGATTCCTAGTAGTATTCTACAACTAGGACATAAGCATGTTAAAGCAATGTGTTGAGGTGTTCCAACCATCTGAAAATCTCATTGCAGGTTTCCATTAACTAAAATAACATTTGGTAGCACTTTAGTATCTGCGTTTTTGATAAGATGTGGTGGATTGCTATGAAATAATATCTATTGGCAGAATGAGTTACTGTTCTTTAAAGACAAATGTATATGTATGGAGTTTTCCCCGTTTCCTCCTCCTCCCCATATGCACACAGCTCATAGGATTAACATAGAGAGTAAGGCTGGAACTGATCTCAAGAAGTCATCTAGTTCCAGCCCTCTGTCCGAGGCAGGCTCATCCCAATATAAACCATCATATACAATTCCAGTTTTGTGCTTGAAGGCTAATCCCCAACCCCCATCAAAATGCTGAAAAGGCTTGGGTTTGTCTACATGGAACTTCCTTGTCTTGTCATAGACTGGAAACCTACATGTAGGTAAATTAACAGATGAAGGCCCCCTCTGTTATGAAGCTCCTTTTGCAGAGGGCAATAATGTAACTGGGTTTCACTGAAAATTAAGACTTATCTATTGGCCACTTCTTTGAGGCTTCTACCATTCTACATTGTATCTTTAAGGAGCTTCAAAAATAACTTGACAAACATTTCTGTAGAACAAACACCACAGAATAGGGCTGCCTTCAGTTAATTCATTTATGGGGGAGAAGTCTGGAAACTTTTCATTTAACATGGGGTTTTGAGAGTGACCTCCTTGTCACCAGACTGTATTCACATGGGCATCACTGAATAGCCAGATTAGACCGTTACGTAATGTATTTTGATATGCCACAAACATAACATTTCTTGAAACAGGGAACTCATGTTAATTTAGCATAGTTCTTTTGAGCAGCTGTGGCTGAATATTAGGAAAGATGGAAGGAAGTAAAAATGGAAGGCACGTAATAAGCAACAAATTTGCTGTTTTAGCCTGAGTCACAGTAAAGGTGAACTGAAACAATTCGCTGTAAGTTGAAGCTTACCTAAAACAAACTGAAATTAGTTTTACATTAGTGTAATACAGTTAGTATAGCACACACAACTAGATTATATTACAGCTCTCTCCTTTCCAACTGCCAGATTTTAAGTCCTTTGAACCTAGGTAGTTTTCTGCAAAATTTTAAAATGCATTCCCTACAATAAATTATTTCGTGCAACAAAGAACCTTGACTGTAATCATCAAGCTACAAGGTAGAAAGTATCCCTGTAATGTGTCCTTGTAGTATGCATCTGCAAATCGTACTTTCAGATATTAACAAATGAGTGCCAATATCTTATTTAAAACTCTAGAACGCTTGGTTCAGTGAGGATATCTTTTATTAGACCAACTAAGAAATTCTGCGATTTCTTAGTTGGTCTAATAAAAGGTGTCATCTCTGAACCATGAGTTGTAGAGTTTTGCATTTCTTTTTGTCTCAGATTAGCACAGCTACCAAATATATCGCTGGAATATTGTATTTAATCTTTGTCACGTTGCACATAGATTGTGGCTTATATATTAATTATAGAGCATGTTTTAGAGAGATATTCAGTTAGCTGGGGACCAAAGTTGATAGCACATGCTATTTTAGAACAGACTTATCTAAAAGTGTTATTGATGGAATTATTAACATTAATTGTCTAATAAAAAATGATGTTTCTGGAAGGAGAATACTTGTGGTTTTGTATATTGCCGCAGGATTTTTACGAATATTACAAAACAAGTTGTGTAAATATGTGTGTGTGTGGGTTTTCTCCTAGGCAAAACCCTGCTGGCTCAGACCTTAGCTAAATGCCTTGATGTACCTTTCGCTATCTGTGATTGTACCACCTTGACTCAAGCTGGCTACGTTGGTGAAGACATTGAGTCCGTCATTGCAAAGCTACTGCAAGATGCCAACTATAATGTAGAAAAAGCCCAGCAAGGTAAACTTGAGCCACGTGTCTTCAGAAGCTCTGAGTAAACAGTTTGAAACTTAGCAAACCTTTCAAAAGTTTATGAACAGATGTAACAGGCTATTTGTTTCATATCATCTAGCAAGTTGCTGAAGTAATGTTCAGCAATCTGTTACGTTGCTTTAGCAACCTGTTCTCTTTAAGACTGCATTCTTCTGAGTGCATAGGTTATATTTCTCTCTCCCAGAGAGAGCCTTCCTTAATTGCATTTTCTATAACTGTAGGAATTGTTTTTCTGGATGAAGTAGATAAGATTGGCAGTGTGCCAGGCATTCATCAGTTACGGGATGTAGGAGGAGAAGGCGTTCAGCAAGTAAGTACTTCATCCTTGTGGAACACTTGGCCCATCAAGTCCCAGATTGTGTCTGAGTTTATAGATGCATATTTCATTAGCTTCTTCACTTTTAAACCCAGAGCACTTCAGCTACTATTCCACCACCCTTCTCTACCCTTTCTTTTCCCCCTAAAAAAGACCTGGATGAAATATGCAAGAGGCAAGATGTTTTTGAGGGTGGTCTCTTTTGTCAGACCCACTGCACAGTTAGAATAGATTTAGACAAACTTTTGGATATCAGCACCCTTTCTCTGGTCTCAGATGAAATAATTTTGTCAGAAGGCATTCTTATTTGCTTTCAGGCGAAAGGTTAGATAAACTGGACAACAGTAGCTAATTTTTTTCACTTTATTTAAAACCCTAAAGTCACTAAAAGTTCATGGACAAGTGAAAAATATTTAGAAATGTCGTGAATCAGAGCAGCCGCCGGCAGCTTGTCTGACTCACACACCGGAGTGTTTAGATTTAGAGCTCGGCAGGCGGGTAATTGATGGATGGAGTGGAATTAACCAGGCACAGACACGTGTAGGTTACAGGAGTTTGTTTACTTAGGTCGCCTAGATAGCGATGGACGACGCAGGCGAGCCTTTATTCCGTTACAGCTTCGGTTACAGAGTCGAGTACACGCACGCAGTCAGGTTACAACGGGATAATGACGGACGTGGCGCCGGAACAAATGGTCGAGCTTGCAAGACTTTCTACGTCAATATTTTACGCTGACGGGGTGATTGATTGGGAATTGATCAATTTCCCAATTCTCTGGTGACAAGCACAGGTGTTTCCTGTGAGATCCCCAGAGCTCTCCGACTTGGGCGGAAACCGTTAAACTATTTATAGGCAGAGGTGTTTGACATAGACATCCAATGACGGGCCGTTATGTGGAATCTTTAATTTTTGGCAGGTGGCAGCTCTTTGTCTCCTCAAGTTACAAGGTAGTGGGTTAGGCTTCTCTACCTGTTACATGTGTGCTACGTGTGAGGAGCTTATGCTTATTTTTGGACCAATTATATATAGTTTCCCCTAGCATTTTATTTCAGCTGACCAATTATCTGCAGTTCTCCGGCCGCATTTTGTTTCAAGGAATTTTTGGCAGGGATGTCTTTTAACCCTTAATCGTCAAAATGAGGATGATTTGAATGGTATCTCTTGCTCAGTGGCATGGGCACAAGTTAATTGGGTTGTGACAAGAAATACCTCTGCTTATGTGGGAGATAGCATGTGAGAGGGTGAAAGACCTAGATTGTGTTTCTGCTTCTCTCAGCATTTGGCCTTGGGTAAATTACTTGCAACTTATTAATTCCACTGAAATAATGAAGACCAAGTCACAAGAAAACGAATGTCAGGATTCCATTATATACTTTAGCCCAGGGGCCAGATGGTCTTTAAACAGAATATTTGTTTTGGAGGTTCCTGTTCCACATTTGATGTAGGATAAAAAAAAATGACTGCAGTGAAATTACTCTGTCTTTCTGCCTCGAGCGGGGGGGCTGGACCCGATGACGTGAGGTCCCTTCCAGCCCCTTCAAATCTATGAATCTTATGAAATGTTATGTAGACCTGAAAAGAACCATACTGGCCTAATTCTCTTATTTGCATGTGCTCAAACCTTACTTTAATCAGTGTATGGCCACAAAAAAATTGATTTTGTTTCTTGAAAGAAGATTCTACTGTTGAATATGGAAAATTTAGTTTCTAAACTCCCTTCTTCTGTAGAAATGCAAAGTAATTATAGTAATCCTTAATATCTTTATAGGATGTATGTTTTGCTGCTTTGGAATACAGTATTGATCCAGGCAAGCATCTTGCTTAGCCCTCTGGCACTTGATATTATTTGCATTGTGAGCCATATCCAGCTTGCCCCAATTGTGTACTCAGTCACTGAATCCAGTGCGAGTAAGATGAGTGGAATTTGGTACACATTCTAGTTGAAGGTCACATTTAGATTATAAACTTACTTTGCCAGCGAGTAGTATCCTCATCCATGCTGTTCTATTCCATACGTGTTAAAATACACACTAGAAGCAGCATAGGTGTCATGGTGCAGTGTTGCAGATAGTTAACAGCTTAACTTCTGGCAGTGTTAATTAGCCCTTACCACCACTCAGACATAGCTGGGTGGCTTCCAGGTTGGGAGGTGGTGCTAAGATGACAGCGTGGCAGCTTTGTGCATGCTGTTGCCCATCGCGTAAGTGTGCAGATTCGTTATTTAATTCCTTGTATTGACTGTGTTCCTTCCTAGGGCTTGTTAAAGTTACTAGAAGGTACAATCGTAAATGTTCCAGAAAAGAATTCTCGTAAGCTGCGTGGTGAAACGGTGCAGGTTGATACAACGAACGTCCTCTTTGTAGCTTCTGGTGCTTTTAACGGTCTGGACAGAATTATCAGCAGGAGAAAAAATGAAAAGGTGAGGATGCATGGTTTTAAAATCGTTCTTTTTGGTACCTCTTGGTAGCAGCTTTTAGGACTGGCATAGGGCAAATTGTATCTGCAGATTCCATTTTCTCTGTGCCTCAAACTGAATTCTGATATGAAGAGAGCTAAGTTTGAGGGGAAAAAAATCTGCATTATTTGTTAAAAGTGGCATACCTGTGTGAAACTCAGTTCTGCATGTGATGGTAGGGCTTCTCTCTTAATTGTATGAGGAAATCCATTGAAAAAAGTGTGAAACTGAGAACAAACATTGAAAAACTAGGGAAAACTTTTTCTGTTTTACATGAGTGCCAACAGCTTCACTTGTAATATCTGTTGGCCAAACAGACCGTGGCCATTATTTGTAATGTTTAGGTGAGCAGAAAACAATACTTGTTCAATTTCAACTTTGATATCAGTAATTGGGCACGTATAAGCTTCCTCTTTCTGGATGACATAATCAGCCTACCTAGGGCTTCTGGTAGGAGGAAGTTGAGTTGCTTTTGTTTTCAGTAGGGGAGATATCTAATGATAAGTTTGGAACTACTGCATGTTTGGAAAGCTGTAGGCTTTTTTTGTGTAGCTAGCGTTTTTGACTGGGGGTTCATATAAGACTTGGCTTAACTTTGTATTAACTTAGCTTCAAGAACGTATGGAGGTTGCAAGTTGATTATTTCAGCATATGGTGTTGCAGATGATGCATCTTTTGCATGTGTAGCAAATCTGAGCTATCTAACAAGCCACAAATGTGTGATGTCTGTTTTGCAGTATCTTGGTTTTGGGACACCCTCTAATTTGGGGAAGGGCAGAAGGGCTGCAGCAGCAGCTGACCTTGCTAACATAAGTGGGGAGACAGACACACAACAAGACATTGAAGAAAAGGATCGCCTGTTGCGCCATGTTGAAGCTCGAGATCTCATTGAATTTGGCATGATTCCAGAGTTTGTGGGACGTTTGCCCGTGGTGGTTCCTTTGCACAGCCTAGATGAAAAAACACTCGTGCGGATTCTTACTGAGCCACGAAATGCGGTGGTTCCTCAGTACCAGGCATTATTCAGCATGGATAAGGTGTGGTTTTTGTCTTATTCTTTGACCTCCCTTTAGTATTTGTCTATACTAATGTCTGCTCTGTGGCTAAAGAAAATAGCCATCCCTTTGCTCAAAGGTAAGTAATTGGAGTTGTGTAAATGCATACTTGCTGGAGGATGTCCTTGTTTGTTGAGACTGAATGATCGCAAGTCGATTCAGCTTGACAGAAGATTCTGTAATCTTGCTGTGAACTGCTTGCTGAATCCTCTGTTCTAATGTCAGGTTCGGTGAGTTTTGAGCAGTTTTTATTTTTATCTCATGGCAAAGCAACATACAACTGCATAAAGGAAGCTGGAGGCTGTCACCAGTTGTTTTCATGCCAGGAAATGCAGACTTCCAGATAAGGAGTTGAGCAAGACCTTATTGCATGAATTGTATTTTCCTTAAATATACTGATCAGATGACATAAAGAATGTGTAAATACATACTTTTTTCCCCCCCTGTCTTCTGACCTCTGTATTATAATTTGCCAATTGTGTTTCCTAATTTCTCGTAAGAGAGATAATGGAAATTCAGCAGCAAATGCCCATGTGGACTGGTTTGACCAAACATACAGCAAACCTGTTGACATTATTCTGCTAGTTAGGTGTGCAATTTGTTCTGTTTTGATTCAAGTTAGCTTTGAAACCTTGAGTCCAGTAATCTAAAGGTATAAGACCGGGGGGGGGTGGGGGGGGGGGGGGGTTATTCCTATCTTCCATGTTTCCATGAATCCTAGTTTTCCTCCTTGAAATGTTATCAAGTGATATGTTTTTTGGTGCGGGGGTTGGCTAGAAATTGCAAAAAGAAGGAAGGTATGTTAACATTTAGTTCATTTTCACCAATGTTTATATTTGTCCTTAAAAACTCTACTGCAGAGGTGATCAATTATTTTGGGTGGAGGGCTGCTTAAACAAGCTTTGGTGAACTGTCAAGGGCTGCATGGGTAGTGCGCGCCTCCCCTTTGACAATTGCCCCACTGCCTGGTCACCATATTGGGACTAGAAGTCCCATGGCCTAGCCCCTGACCTTTGGTACCAGAAGTCCCTCCCCCCCGGAAATGCTCATCTGGGGGGGTTGCCATCTTAGAACCAGGAAAAAAACAAATCATACACTAAAAGTCAAACACGTACTAGAACATATTTTAATTTTATTACAAAATCATTTATCATGATTTGTTTGTGTAGTGTATATAGAAGGCATTGCATAATTACTCAAAAATAATCTCACTTTTATATTGTGTGGCAGGGAGTGTGTGTATGATGGGGTGGGAGGTTTGTGGGGGGGGCATAGGGTGTTTTGGGGTGTGTGTGTATATGTGGGGATGGAGGTTTGTGGGGTATGAGGGAGGGTGGGGGGTGTGGGGAACCCCCACATGGCATGCAGCCCTCAATGCCAGCATCAGGCAGGGAGGCTTAGGGAGCTCATGCCTGGCACAGGCTCTAGTGGGGAGGAGCACAGCCTGTCTGTCCACCTCTATCATGGAGGCTCTGTGCTGCATGCCTGCAGCTCCCGCACTGGGGGAAGCAGTGCTCTGCTGGACTCTGCAGTGAAGCAGGGAACTGGGGCTCCCTCCACTCCCAGCAGAGTCACAGCAGGAGGCAGGGAAGGCAGCCGGCTGCAGTGTGGGTTTTCCCCTGTTGTGAGTGTGGGAGCTGCAGGTGCACAGCCTCTGCCATG